TGCGCCATGCGGCCAGGCCGCCCCGCACGTGGCCGCCACTTGCCACCGCCATGTGTCCCCGTGGCGGCCTGGCCTGCGTCCAGGCCGCCCCTCAAGTGGCCGTGACGTGTACGCTGTGTCGCCCCCGTGCGCCCAAAATTTGTTTTCCCGCGAAAAGGCACATCGGAAAAATTGAAAATATTAGGCGCACCAATCAGCACGGCGGCTTCTACAGAGCGCACCAATGGCAACGCGGGAACGCACAGACGCACAGACTGTCACGCCACGTGTCCCCGTGGCGGCCTGGCCTGCGGCCAGGCCGCCCCGCACGTGGCTGCCACTTGTCACCGCGGCGCCCCCGTGCGCCAATGAGAACCCGTGCGGGAGCGCACGAACACACATACACAAACACACAGACAGACAGACACGGAAATTAGTATACGCGGGGAAATCACGGCTGATTCAAGAGTCTTGACGCATGGTGACCCAGGCGGAACTCAAGAGTACAGTACATTTCTACAGTATCTGTACATACTGTAGGAGGTCAGCGGTAACCCTTAGATATCAAGGATACTGTACATATATGTTCGAGCCCGAAGCGGAAGGGATGGCGGTGCTTCAATCGATGATACAAAAGCGATTTGAAACTTGACACATGGCACTGCAGAGTCTGCAGTGCAGTGCAGACCAAGGCGTACAGTTTTCTACAACCTGCAAGTAATGCAGTCAGCGACGCATGCGCTGACATGCTCGGTGGCTTGTCGACAGGCGACAGAGCGGGCAACGTGTGAAAGACAGAGCGACGGGAGGCGACAGAACGACGAGCGGCGTTTGAGGCAAAAGGCGAAACGCGCAGGGGTGGAGGGGGAGCGGGGGGCCGGCGGGGGCTGGATCACTGATTGCGCAGTGGCGCAGCACCGTACTGTAGGATGTCTAGTCGATGGGATTGGATGGGCGGGAGCCATGACTTGCGGAGTGCCTTGTGGACGTGACAGAGTGGCGGGTTCTCCCCGGGAGCTGTCGCCCTGTTTGTTGAGGCAGTGAAGTCGAAGGTAATGATCGTCTGCTACGCGTGTGTCGAGATCTGGGATGACAGAGGCAGCACAATATCCACATTCATGTTCTTATGGCCTGTTTTTAAAGATTAATTCACCTGCAGGTCTGCCCCACCCTTGTACAACTTGTAGCCGGACACTGAAGACGTCCACGTTGTGTGTACGTAAAATTAAGAGATATATATCATTTAGGCCAGTTTTTTCGCTTCGAAACAGGGTTATGTTCCTGGAATGAGGATTGTTGCTTGCGTGCCCTCCCTTGATCGTAATCCATGGGTAGCCGTGCGTGTTCAAAGTACAGATATATATTAAAGAAACGGTGTTTTTATTTTATTTTTCAGTGCGTTCTTGCGTTGTATGTCGTGCGATGTGTGGAAATATGCACGGCTATTTTGCGGACAGAATATGCGTCTCAGTTTGTTTCAGTTTTACTGTATTGGTGCACTTGTTTACATAAATACCAGGTGCGGGCTGGAGGCGATATCCACGTAGGGTACGTTCGTGGTCTCTCTCGTCTACAGGCATTGCCAGAGACCAATAAACGATTCCCATTTTCATAACGGATGCATGTTAATAATGCTGTAGTTAAAAACTACTGTTCAGTATTGCGATCGATCGTCCAATAACTGTCCATGCGACAGCAATGGCAAAACAATTTCCAAATGCTTGTTCATGTGAAGAATAACATAAATAGTGGAAGAATATTTCCAAATGCGACCCAGCGCTCCAACGGTACAGTACATGACATTATCATAGTCATTCTACCTTGTCTGTAAGAGCTGGAATCATTTGGCCGACACCAGACAAGGAAATGCTTGGGTGAGGGTTCTGTAAAAAAGTAAAGGAAATGCTTGGGTGAGGGTTCTGTAAAAAAGTAGTGACACGCTTTACTGTAGGCTCATGGTAATGGAAGATCAAAGCGGCTACAGAACCGCGTACACACACAGTGAACTGCAGATTCCCATATGCTCATCTTCAAGGATAGCGATAAGTGTCGCTCTCTGTTTTCCCAGCTGTGAAGTAATGCATTCATTTTACAACTCTGTGCCACATCTGCAGTATTCAGCCTCACCTGCCGTACACTGAGTGCTATTGAAATGCTGTCTACTACACACTAGGCGGTGTCTACAATACATCGTCTGCCTTCACTAATTTGTTGAGTACTGTACCGTACTAAAGTGCAGAAGAGAATTCTTCGAAGAGGGTGAGACTGGGCTGTCGTGTTACTGGTGAACCTCGCAAAGGGACAGTACTTTTTAATTAAAGCAGTTTGAGCACTCCTTTCGGTTGCACGTGAAGCATATTTCGACACAAACCTCGAGTGCCGCGCCACTGCGTAGAGGATACTGTAATCCAAGCGCACAGTAGCGCAGTGCAATACTCTGGTTGTCTTCAGATATCTTACAGTACCGTACAAGCTATCGCACTTCTTTGTACAGTACCAAGGGTATGTATCGTACCCATGGGTACAGTACATTGGCGAGAACTGGACGCAGTTGAACTCCTGCCTCCACGACGGAGATGCGTTCTGCACTGTATGACTCCAATATGAAATCGCAACGGAAAACTCAAACCTCGCTGATTACAGTACACATTCGGGCGTATCCGCGCTTTGCTTCGGTATCTCAGTTGATGGCCAAGGTTAGTTATCCAGGTCAACACTTGTGTATCTTAAGGCGAAACTTGAAATTCTACTACAGTATGCCTAAAAAAAGTACTGCAAGCCTACACCGTCGATTCTATTTCCGGACAGGAGGAAGGGTACGTAATAAAGACACCTGAAGGCGGAAAGCTGATAGGTTGCGGAGAGCGATCGATGACCTCCAGAAGAACACGACAGGGTTCGACACGTATCCACAGAGTTCGACACGTATCTGTTAAAAGCATGCAATAACGGGCATAAATAATCGACCTCCGAGCACCAGATGCTGCCACGCGCTGCCATTCCCAATTCTCGCGGCATTCTCCGTGCTCTGGTCCGTCCGCCCGAACTCCTCCATACTGCCCCGCTTCCGCTTCCCCACTATCGCTTCTATCTTTACACCGTCTAACCGCTATGATTCCTCCCACCCACCGTCGCTGCATCCCTTACCCGTGTTGTACCCCCCCCCCCCCCCCCTTCCTTCCCACCCCTTCACACCATTCCTTTTCCCTCCCCTCTCCGGGTCGACGCCGTCTAACCCTGTCCCACCGCCCTTCCCCCTTTCTACAACACCACAAGCGTTCCGCCCTCTCACTCTTTCGCAATTGCCTCCAACCTTCTCCCTCCGTTTGTGAGGGGATAGCGCGCCCGCAGAATGACCACCGATCATGTTACCGCTCTCGTCCGCGATCTCGACTTCTCGGAAGTTGGGCAAGCCACCGCAACCTCCTTCTTCACCGCATACCCTCGTTCTTTCGGCGCCCTCAGAGAATTTTCAACTTCCGACGCTTACCGAAGCGGCATCTACAAGCTCGCAATCCCTTATTTGATAACAGCCGTCATCATCATCGTCGCGGCTCTCATCGCAAACTTTTACTTTCTTGCAAGAAAAAGCGTCATCCCAGGCGCCAATGACGCCCGCGAATCCGATCCTGGCAAGCGCGATTGCGTTGCCAAGGCTTACTTGCCCTTCTCGTGCTTTCTCAACGTTTCGATCTTTGTTTGCATAGCCATCTCAATCGCATCGTGCTCGAGCATGCAATCCGCTTCTGGGAATGCAACCGACGTCCTGGATGGTGCCAGATCTAACATTTCGTTGCACATTGAATCGACGGGTCGATTGCTGCAGCAATACGCCGTCCGCGCCTCCGAGCTGGACCTCAACGAGGATTCAATACCCGTCATTCAGTCTTTTGCAGACTCTAAAGGCAAATTTGATAGCTTCGTATCGCTAAGCACCAAATGGTTTGGTCACCTAGATACGATTCGAAACGAGATCACTGTGCTGTCGTCTCGATATATTTTCGCTACCGTCATCACGTTGATCTTGTGTGTACTCGGTTTGCTACTTTCCTTTGTTTGCGACGTGACTGCGCCTGACTCAAGATGCGTGAAGATATTCGCATTTGCCATGCTTCTCATTCCGTTAGCAGCTGCTTGGGCCCACACCGCCATATCAACATGGCTCGCTGTTGCGACAGCCGACTTTTGTGCATCAAGTGACGAGTTTTATAAGACGACACTCTACGAAATTGAAGGCCGAGATGTTTCCATATCAAAGTCCAATATCTTCAATGTCTACCAGCTAACTTGCCCCGCTACTTCGGGCATTGCGGATGACCTGAAAGCAATTAATGATTTTTTGGGATATGTGAAAGGGGAGGCTGATGCGCTTAGTCTACATCTTGATGACATTACTGGCGGTGAAATCTCCCCCGGGCAATGGGAAGAGTCCCGAGCTTGGATGCAAGACAGGGTATACGACTTCCAAAGGTGTGATACCCAGTTTGCCGTAGCATTCAAGTTGTCAGTGTATGTCTGCGGTAGTCATGGGTCTAGTGGTATAACTGCAGTGGCGCAACTGTGGCTCAGCTCGCTGGCGTTGAGTCTGTTGTTCACAGCAGTTGTTGCACTTCTCTGTTTCGGAGAACCGCCCTCCGAATTTTGTTCGGCACGAGAACTCATGTGCGTATATGGTGCACCGGAACTCATTTCCGCGTTTGGTGACATCAAAGGCGTCCTAAAGAGGCATGCGACATTCCTGAAAATGGAAGACGGCGAAGATCGCTCGTGGAATGTGTCGACGGTCTCGAGTGACCTTGATGCTATTGCAGAAATAGCTAAGGAATATAACTTCGACGATGACAATCTGATGTCGACGAATAGGCCAAGACGCAACGCTTACACATCACATCCGCTGAAGGATCAGAAGATCAAGAGCTCCGAAGGGTCTCTCTCTCACTTTGGCGGGGATGTGGACGATTCTTCGACTGATTCGTCAGCATCACAATAGATTATAGAACAGAGTACTCTTTGTATATTTTGGACCGTGTACATATAAACGCAATCACGTAGATTCCTTTACTGACTAATCCTGCTTAATTGCTTGGCACATTCTGTGAAAGCTTCTACATCCGCAAGGCAGGCCAAGGGGTTATCCTTGCCATTAACCCTGTAACAAACTGTGATCGCTTCCCGTAATTCGCCGCACGGCTGACCCGTTTTGGAGGATGAATTCGCTTGGAAGTTCAAGGCCGATAGCTTTTCTTGAAGCTTCCTTCCGCTCTCCTCAAGCGCTATCCGCTCGGCTTGTTCGAGTTCGTGAGCGTCCTTCAATTGCGCCTCCTTCACCTTGCGAAACATTGCGGCACGCTCCCTTCTCCCCTCTCTTCGAACCTATTCGACGTTTTTCAATGTATATAGAGCAAGCACATCGGGGTCAGAGAACCAATTGAGTATTTTCCGATGACTAGAATCGGATTGTTCAAATCTGGCACGCCAAACGAAGGAAAAGATTGGATTCTTACAGCTTCAATTAATGCAGCTTCGCGACGTGTGCGCGGCTCAATTGGGCCAGGTTCTGATGCACGTCCAGAGAGGACCTGGAACAATCCCGGTGAGATCTGCAAAGTAGAGAGTACATGAAGTATGTGTTAGCGCCCAGATGATACTATTGCATGCACTGGGAGTGGTGTTGGTGACATCATCTCACTTACTCTTAGAGAAAAACCGTCCGGATCGTATTCTTCACCCATGCTTCTCCTGAAACGACTTCACAGGGAAGCTGAAGTGCTCGCGTTGAGTTCGATTGCCGTGCAAGAGTGGCTATGAAGCAACGTGGAGTTAGAGATGTGAGCGGATCGGTGACCAGATGTGCGGAAGAGTGCTGGGTGGGCCTAAAAAGACAGGCGAAACTCTTTTTGCTCCGGCGTATCATACTTTAAGGGAGATGCTTTAGAACTTCCTGATTCGACAACTCTACAGTATTTCAGTATCGAAACGGCCAACTGCGAAGGACATGATTACATAGGCTTTTTCTAAGAAGCTTCATATACAGTGCCACTGTCAAACTGGCAGCGGCGTGCGCCGCCTTGGGCTTCTCCGCTTACGACAAGATTCGCCCTGCCGAAGAAAAGGCGAGTCAGCTTCAGTGCGTTGCGCAGTTACCGGCAAGTTCCCGACTGCGTAAGAATCGCAGCATTCTTCAAGCTGTATCAAGACCATAGACTTTGCGGGCTTTAAACTGAATTCCTATTCAGATGGCTGCGTCTTCTCTTAGAGTGGCCGCAAACATGCGTCTTCCTCCTGAAGTCAACAGGATTCTCTTCGTCAAGTACTTTGCGCATACTGTCTTCTTTCAGCTCGTATATGTCTCTTACACATTTAAAAAGAAACTGACCATTCCCCATTTCGGCTCGATGCGCAAGTAGATGCTTACCTTACAAGATTTCCACAGAAGACATGTATGATATCTTTGGAAAGTACGGAGCCATTCGACAAATCCGCCTCGGCAACACCAACCAAACAAGAGGAACAGCATATGTTGTTTACGAGGATCTATTCGAAGCGAAGGGGGCTTGTGAGAGTCTCAATGGATTTCAAGTGGCCGGTCGTTATCTGATTGTACGCAGCTGATATCAAGTCTCCAATGAACGAGCAAATGGCGACGCGAAACATCACCACTGACGCTCTTACTATACTTTACTCCCTACTATTGCGTATGTTTGAATGGATTTAGGTTCTATACCATCAGCAAAACAGAGTCGCAAAAATGGGGAAAGGTGCTTAGAGCAGAAAGAGAGTCTTTCACAACTCCACAACGACACGCGTGTAACTTCGCTCAATTATAACGAATCACTACCCCTTTTCATAGCTCCATCGCTGGTGCAGTTTACGGTCGCCTGCACTCTCTTTGCTATGCCTCTCACTCTTTGCGCAGTTTCAAAAACATATCTTCGCCTTTCCTGGCCCGGCGCCTGCGGTTAAGTCTTTTACGATTTGTCTATTGTTTGAATGATAGAATGGTGAGTGGAGGCCATCACTAGATTGGGCAGCAAGGAGCGTCAAGCATTAAACGCGGCAGCGATAGAAAAGCACTAATTTAAAAGCTTTCCGGTCTGATCTCGTCTCCACGACTACCCGCGTGGGTCGAAGCTGCACTGAAGCGCGTCCGTCCGCAGCATTTTCTCCAACGCAAGCGTCAGACGCTTACAGAATTGTTGCATAACACAAAGAGTCACTCAAATTCCGCCAAGAGTGCTTCTGATAAGTCGGAGGGCATACTTGCCAGTCCCGCAGCAACCCTGAAAGAAGAAGGACTTGATCCAGAGAAGCCCTGCAATGTGATGTATGTGGCAAGAATCCGCAGCAGATTACATTCACCTTATCCATACCGCTAAAAAGCCGTGAAGCGGACACTCGCTTTTAAATCAAACGCTCTTTGAAACACTCTCTGACCTGACTCGAATCAACCTACCATCTACCCAGAGTTTGCCTGCAACAAGCATTTGAATCGCCTCTGGTAATGCTTCCTTCTCTGCTTCGAAGACTCTAGCAGCTAGGTCATCCGCATAGTCGCTGTCAAGCACAGGAACAGCCTTTTGCAAAATAATCGGGCCGTGGTCATATTTGTTGTCTGCGAGGTGGACTGTGCATCCAGTTACTTTGGCCCCAAACTCAAGCTGTCGAGGTTGAACATTCGAATAGCCAGGTTGTACCGCAAAAAAACGGTTTCATGTAAAACAGGATAGTCAGAATCGTGAAATCTCATTTCTTTTTCGAGCCAGTGATAGGTAGACGAGGGAAGTCAGGAAAAACTCACCACTGCTTCATGCACCCGATGCCCGTAGTAACCCTTCCCACAGAACGCCGGTATTAAGCTTGGGTGGATATTGACAACCTTGCCTTCATAGCGAGGGGGGATCAAATAGAAATGCATCCACCCAGCTAGTACGACTAAGTCGATATTGTATTCATCTAGCACGTTCGATATCGCATCACTAAACCGCGCAGTGTCGCGTTCAAAGTCTCGGAGACGCAAGACGCTGGTTGGGATCGCACGTCGCTCGGCCTTCTCAATTGCCCCTGCGGTTTTCTTGCTCGCTATAACCAGACTTACGCCACAGCAAGTCAATGTACCAGCATCAATTTTCTCACATATGTTCTCCAGCGAACGACCGCCGCCTGACACAAGGACAGCCACCCTCGCTGGTTTCTCAGGCGTAAAAGTACAAGTGGGTGATATTCGACTTTGAGGACGTTCCTCTGCAATTGGTAGCAATATGCTAACGCCTGTCCCAGGTCTTTTCTCTACTCGATTCCTTCGATGTGTCGGACAAAAAGGAGCCCCGACTGTGAGCGTGTCATTTCGGCAGCAAGTTCGACGAAGCCTCCTTGAGGCCGATGAAAAATGCGCAGCAGTTGATACTTGACAAAAGGCGATCATGATGCCGCTTGACGAGGGTACCGCCGAACTTTATCTTGAGATATTATTGTCTGTCTTGCCCGACAAAATTGTGTTAGTATCACAAGTGCTGAGCAAATGTGATAGCAGATTCACGCGAAGCCTTCAAGGCAACCTGATACCTGAAGCACCTGGCGATGCGATTCTTCAAACGCTCCGAACTTCAAACGCTCCGAACGAATTTCGAAAATCAATCTCGTTCAAATATTTTCTGGGGGGCCTGGGGTGTCCGCGGACGCGATTCTTCTTCCCGAACGAGGAAAACTTGTTTCCTCTCCAGAGCGTGGCAATGCTAAGGGCAAGTCCAAAATTATGTGCAGTACAACACCAAAGTGCCAGGGAGATGCGAATAGGAGCGAAACAGCTCTAGCCACGCACCTGAGATCCCGAAATACATAAAATCGCCAGTGAAATTTCGAGCTTGCAAGCACTTTTGAGAGGTAAGCGCTTTTGTCATTGAGCAATCATTCGACTTGGTAAACTTATGCCCCTAACTTTTGCTCGCTTCTACGTTCTGTCATATGGTCACCGGCCATATCTTACTCGCTGAAGTTCTCCTGTAGCCTGTCTTGACCCGATGCAGAATAGCAACGCTGAATTGGCACCAGGTCGACCTGTCAAAGATGTCTACCCATTACTTTATTGGGCGTCTCTTTTCGGAGCGCTTTGGTCTTTACAGGGCTCAGAAGAATTCTACGCCGTAGTTCTCAGCAGACACAGTATACAGCAGTTGTTTGAGTTCTTCTGGTCTTTGGGTATCTGTTTTAGTATTTTCCTTCGTTTGGGTACCCAATTGTAGGGGCAGTATGCCTGAGAAAACAGGACTACATCAGCATGGTTGGACTTCCGCTATTTTAGAGAGTCCGAAGGGTCAATGGACATGAGTTTTCGGACGGCATCGGCACAATTCCGAATCCTCGGATTGTTTTCTGAAGTTGCAACAGCGTGTGCGATCACACTATTACCAGAAATAGCACTGTGTACATGTGCAGCTCTTTGCAAGATAAACCTAGGAACTCCGGCTTCCAAGGCACACTGCAGAGCTCGAGACTCTTGGCACACTGACCCTGGCAAAAGTCGATATGTCCTCACGACGCTGTGCACTTGTTCTCTCCCATCACTTTCCCCTTGGTCAGCTGCTTCACTGGGTACCCTGGATACCAATCGAGAAAGTCGAGTACCCACGGACACCGAGTCGCGCGCTGACAAAAGCTTTGGGCGTTTAGACCGCCGAGCTAGATTGGTGTTTGGTTTCGTCATAACTTCCATAGAAAACATAGACAGTCTCGGATCTGAGACTGGAAGGCATGGGTCTTTTAAAATCTCGACGAAGTGAGTTGTGCAAAGACAGAGTGGCGCATCTGCAACTGGTCTGGCAAGAAGTTCTCTCAAAGCAGCAACTAACAAGGCCATACCATCGGCTTCCAACGTTCCTTTCCCAAACTCGTCAAGCAGATATAGCCCTCTTCCACTCTTCTTAGGGGCTAACATCTGCGCGACTTGACTTGCATCGATAAAAAAACTGGAGTGCCCGTGTGAGATTGATTCAAAACTAGAAATTCGGCTTCGTATACATTCAACGAGCACCATGACCGTTCTCTTTGCCGGAACGAAAGACCCGATTTGTGCCATAATGACGATAAGAGCAACCTGCGTCAAATAAATGGACTTCCCTGAGTAATTTGGTCTTCTCAAGACCGATACATGCATAGAGAAGAGAAAGTACATGGTTAGCATTCACCTACTTCTATACTCGCAACTATGCGTGCGTTTTGTGAGACATCATTTCACTTACCCAGTGACAATCTGAATATCGCCGCCTCTCAGATTGGTTGAATTCGGAACATAGGATGGCACGACCAATTCAAGAAGCGGGTGTCTACCGTCCTCCACAACAAGCCGATCTTCGTCCTCCAGAAAGTTAGGTTTGGTCCAGGAAAATTCATTTGCGGCACATGCAAAAGCCTGCAAACAATCCAATTCTCGGACCAAAGCAGCTACTTCAAGAATAGATGCAGAGGCTTCAAATACTTTCGTTTCTAAGTATCGGTAAGCCTTCGACTCCAAATCCATGATGGCACCGTAAATGTCCCCCAACTCGTCGTCAAGCTGAGTGCATCGGTCATTTTTGAAGTGATATCCCTGTTCTGGGGAGCTGAAGATGAATGACATTCCGCATTGCTTAAGGTTTTCGAAACCAACCCGATCAACATCTGCTTTCGAAAGCATAACCAGATATCCAATTTGCGGTTGATAGGTGAAGCAAAGCGAAGATAATGACGGGGGGTTATCCATTTCTAGGAAGTTTTCATGTTCTTGAACGGCTACAGACGTCAAGAAGTCATCCAAACCGCTATGACATCGCTTCATCTCATCTATTTCCTCACTAAACCCCTGTGCAACCACGAGCTTCCCGGATGCAGTGCTTTCTTCGAAATCGACGACTGCGTCAATCCAATCGACACACTGCCTCAGATGGGTTTCAGAGACAGAAGTGGCGTGGGCGAAGAGGGGAGAAGATTTGACGTCCTCGTTCTGTTGCATGGCGACCTTCATTGTATCCAGAACGATTATGAAGGACTTCAAAGATGAATACAAAGCTTTCCAATCATTTATCCCACCACATATCTTTCTGAGCCGGCAAAGTACACCGGGTGCGTTCTTGACTCCGCGAAGAGCATCATTCAAAGCCTGAAGTATGGCAGCATTTGAGCTTCGCCGAAGAAAATCGACGACAAACTGTCTTTCCGTTACGGTTTGAATGTTCGTCGATGGATACAGCAACCAAAGTCTCAGCAGCTTTCGCGCAGCACCTGTCTTGACGTGGCTCTTCAGAATCCCATATAACGACAAACCCTCCTTCGGCGTTAGGCCACCACGTCCGATTGGATGCGTGTCCTGGCTGAAGACGTGTAACGCACGCAGTGTTGTGGGACTGATATCCATCACATCACAAAAATTGCGATGCCGAATTGCATTGATCTCAATGGACTCGTCGTCGGTCGCGACAGCTGCAAGGACGCCATTTTGTACAACGAAAGCGAGCAAGCCCCCGATTGCTCTTAAGACACATTCTTCTTCACCGACTAAATGACAGAGATAATCATATCGTGCGGTGGATGTCATGTGCTCGGGTGAGCCACGAACTTTGATGAATCCGCATAGCTCTTTCGATTTTGCGATACCAAACTCGCCGTTTGCTACGTACGAGACCATTCTGTCTGTATCTCCATCGTGTTCCGTGTCATCTTCTGTGCGCTCTACATTAGTGTTGGTTTCACGGATATTGGATTCTGCCACGGAAGAAGGAGGAGGATTAGCGCTATACTCGTGATGAGAACCTCGGATAGAATCGAGCAAATCATCTTTGCTTTTGTACGAGTTTGGTAACACGACAGTGATAGCATCGAGCTGGTTGACCACTCGAGTGGCATTCGAGTAGTCAGTCTCACAGGAAACTCTTTTCGTTAAAATAAACAAGTTTAAGCAGGAGCGGTAGCACACAGGTTATCGGTTAGCCACCTCGAAACACTTAGCTAAATAAAACGAAGAATACAAATATGACGCGAAGACATACTTTGAAATGTAGATCTCGCTTGACGCAAGGTCATAGCACGCAACGCCCAGATGATTCTTTTCCTCGACAAACGCGGTAATGGTTCCAGAATCTGCAGATGGACCGAGATCAAGGGGCCAGGCGGGGCAAGCGCCTACCGGGAACCGTCAGAAACGAATGAAAAGACAATAACTGGAAGCAAGTGACGATGCGTCTTGAGGTGCATACCTTGTTCGAGTTGATCGGCCTCAATGGGGGCGTGCGACTGATCTTCTTCCGTTTGAGTGGGCGTCTGAGAACAGGAAGCAATGCCTCGAGGGACAGTGCCCCACTTGCCGCCGCGCAGAACCTTCGCCATGTTGGATGGAGGTATGGCCGCGACTGGGCACGCAGGGGGCACGCGACATGGAAAGGCGGTCGTTCTTTCAGTGGTCGGAAGGAGCGATCTGTGAGCAAGTATATAAGAGTAGTTGAGGAGGGCAAGGATTCGTTTCGTTTCGTTCCAACGCAAAGCGGCGTGAGGCTTGACGAAGAGAAACGGCAAGCGGCGAAACGCAACTGGTCACGTACGGGCCTCACCAGCGGTCTGCCATATGGGATCGAATTTCGCCCACTTTGTTGCGCAAGCTAGTGTGTCTCATGGTTGCATGGGTGACACATATCGAGAGCGCGAGCCCAACAATCCTGATGAACGAGAACAAAACACCCGATAGAAGAAGAGCGAGAACAGAGAGAACAGCGAAAGCCAAGAAGCGCTCCTTCCGAGTAACTCGTCTTCCGTTGACCATCAACGGGGAGGGGGACGTCGCGTACACCCATCCCACGATGATGGCGCCAACAACAAAGACGGAAGATGGCCTGCGCAGAACGTAGTAGAGCAGTGCAGCACCGAGAATGATGCAGTAGTTGGCCTGGTAGATGTGGGAGTTAAGAACGATGCGGTTGCCGATGGTCTTGGGGTCCCTCCGCGGTGTGGTGAACTTTTCGATGAATTGAGACCACGGGCGGGGGGGTGAGCGCCAGTCGCGGTTTGCGACCTCTGAGCAAATTTCGTCGTAGAGGAAGCGAGCACGCGCCTCGATGCGTGCCCACGACATCGAGGCCATTTCTGGAGAGGAAGGTGAGGTGCTTCAGACCTGCCTCTGGGCGCTTGTTAGTTGCGAAAGGCTGGCGCGGAGGGTGACGGAGTGAGAAAGCAAGAACGACTGCGTGGGATTGTGGTGTGCCAGCAAGAGCGGACGTTGCTCGCAACGCGAAAGCGACGTGGACAAAATGTGCATTACAGTCTTCCAGCGGCGGACATGTTTCGATACTTTTTGCATGTTCCCTCTTCTGACCTCCCTGGACGATCGCGCCATGGCTAATTTACGGTACAGTCTCTCACACGTCGCCTCGACAACCAGGTCGCTGCCTCCCAACCAAAATACTGTACTATGCCGCAGACGTTGTCCACCCACTCCACGTGTAAACGTGAAATCTACCGTATGCGTTAGGATATGCCCCTATGATACCCTGTGATAAAGATAAACGTGGAAGACGTTTCCATGCAGGAGAGTACAACACTGCACTGTAAATGCACTGTACAGTGCAGTCTCGATACAATCTAGATGCGTAAGCAGGAAGCAACGTACTGTACCATTAACGGTACTGTAGAAGCATATCGAATCGGTCATGGATAACGCTACGGAGCGATACAATGCTACACTGTACCCTTGGGTATTGTACAGTCCGATATGCTTCCCCCTCTAGTGTAGCCTTTTGGGCTGCATGCACATGCCGTAAAGCTTTACGGTAGTTTGAACGGTGCCCCGTCTCGTACATCTATCTCTCGTTCAATCGCTGGCCTTGCTAGGCTGCGTGCCCGCAGATTGTGTGGAAAGTAGTGTGGCACTTAATATCATTTGTGTCTATGGTAATAATGACTAATGTGATGGAAACGGAGGCGCGATAAGTATGGGAACAGACCTCACGAGGTGAGATGCGAAGTGTATTTCAAAAAAAAATGTAGCAAAATTGCACAAAAATGTAAAGCTTTAGCAAAATTGCACGGCGAGAGACGAAGGGAAAGGAGAAAGGTTCGGCGAAATTTTATTGTTTTTTATGAGATGCGGCACAGGGAGGCGGGATACAGAGTGGGGAGGTTTAGTACCCGATGAGGGCGGCGTAGCAAGCAGCGGAGTGGAGGGCGCGCAGGAGATTTTTCGGGGATTCGCCCCTGCTGCGCCATTCGTATCTCAGAGGGCTTTGCATGTGTGAGTGCTGAATGCCTCACGGAATTATCATGCCATGCCAGACTAATGCGTCCGAGGGTTTTAGCTCTTATTCGGCATACTTTTCTTTTAAATTTCCCGTCCGCCTTTGATGGCTGTCGTCTGCCACTTGTTCCTCGCAAGCATGTACGTTTTTACCCTCAATGCGCTTAATAAACTATCTAAGACTCCTGTCCCACTCCACCTAATGTAACCGCCGCGCATCATTCACTTTTCACCCTCGACCATCCTTTCACAATTTCCTTTCGTCACCGCCGACACTGCCGGCGCAGCGTCATTTTCTCCGTCACACCTCGGCTGGAACCAAGCCCTTCCCTTTTCCCCTCGTCCGTCCATGGACATCAAGAACATCCTCAACGAAGCTGACCGTCGTGCCAACACCACAGCGCCGCGTTCACCACCGCCGAACTCCCCGACTCCCCCTTCCCGAACAAAATCCCCGCACTCTCACCGCTTCCTTTCCGACCCACCCGCTCCGCAATCCCCCTCGCGCCTCGCTGCAATGCAACCACACAATTCCACCCCACCGCAACAGATCGTCTACACAGGCCCGGTCTACCAATTCCAGCCTGCCGTCCAAGTTCGCCACATGGGCAACTCTATTCAATACCGCTACTCTCCTTACCCATACGAGGACCCGCACCCAGTTAACTACACAGTCTATCAGGAATATTCCGAACTGCCACCGCGCTCACACTCTCCGACTCACCGCCAATCCGACTCGCGCCTCCACCCCCCACACCGCGACGACATACCGCGTCCAACCTCACGTGCACCCTACTACCGCCCGTGTTCCTCTACCTCCGCCCCCACCCGCCGCTACCCAACCTTCCAACACGCATACCCGCCAGAGGTACCGCCTGCGTCCTACAACACCGCACCCATGCCGGACCATCGACCAATGCCCCCACCCAAGGATCCTTTCACAGCGACCGACACTCAAAAGTACGCCGTTGCGCATCATCGCCACCAAAGCCGCATGGCCCATCGCCATCCCGAGTCATATCTTTCATATGTATCATATCCAACACAAAGCCCAGGGTACGGCCCGGTTGACGAACAATATTCGCATAATTCGCATCCGCCCGATTTCGAGACATACAAGTACTATTCAAACAGAGAATCGTCTCCTCCACGCGAGCGTCTCTCCTTAGAAAAGCGGCCTTCGTCCAAACAGTCCCGGTCCTACAGCGAAGAACAAGAGCACGTTTCCATGGAGAAGAACGGACCCCCCAGCGGAGATGACGAATCATCCGGACAGCATCATCAACGCGACACCGTTGATCCTGCCCCACGCCGCGTGAAAAGAAGGGAACGGCCGACTAATGCTCACTCTTCGACTTTTCACCGGCAGAAAGAGGCAGTTGTCGAAGAAATTGGAAAAGATGATGACGTGTCAGACGTGTATCCCCAATACTCGAAGGATTTTCTCGACGTATCGTCCCAACATAATTTACCCGCCAAGTCTGTTACTTCTCATCCCCCCAAAACATCCAGGACAAAGATGGATTCCAGGGTGCGTCCAAAAGCGAAGACCGCGCATTCTGTACCCCAAAATTCTAGGGAGAGGTTCGCAGAGGAAGGCCCTCCTAGGAAGAAGAAGCGCTTAAAGTCTGGGTCTGACACTTCTGACATGGGTGAGGACCCGCCAGACGTCGGAATGAAGATCAGTAAGAGCCCTGTTTCCATAGACGATGGCTCTGTTCGGAAAGCGCATGGAAAACAAGATTGTGGAAGGGTATCTGCGGAGACAAGTTCCTGTCACGATAGCGATGTTGTCCTCGTTGAGGATGACAACGACTCAGGTACTGTTAGCGAACGCGAAGATGCATCTTCAATTGATGATGAATCGGTCAGACAGCGAGAACGCGATAGTGAGAGATATCGCAGAAGTCTTATCGCTAGCGTTGCCGACCCGGATGAGCCATATCCTGAGACGTATCAACAGTTTTCTGGCATTCCAGCAAACGCAGTGGGAGATATGTTGCATCTGTGGGAGTTCGTCAATGCCTTTTCAGGGACACTGCGTCTCAGTTCTTTCAAGTTGCGACACCTCGAAAAAGCTATCGTCCACAACGAGAGATCTCCGCTACTCGATGCGTGCATCACGCGGTTGATGCGCTCCATCTTGGCCGACAAAGAGCTGGTTGATGAACTCGGCGTTTCAAATACCGTATATAAAGCGGTCAATTCGAAGTCAAGGAATGCTATTACGAAAATTCTCGAAGCACTGCATCATATCCTCTCCTTTGAATCAGACGAGGTTTACGATGAGTCTTTGCTGTCTACTGTCAACAAGCTGGAGAATTCTTCGGACAAATGGGCTTTTTATCGCGTTATCGAACCCGCAGGCAAGCTGCGAATTCTGCGTGAGTTGGTTGATTACGTCGTCATGACTGACAAGATCCGAAATTGCATCTCGGATAGCATGGAACACGCAGAGGAAGAGAAGAAAAAGGCACGCGAAGAAAACGCTGCCAACCGGAAGAAATTAGAAACACAAATCAAGAGACTGAAGGCTGAGCTCTTTGAGTTCCGAGTCAAGGCTGGTTTGGTAGATCCACCGGCAGACTCGGAAAGAGAGAAATTCCAAGCAAACGACACAAAGGAGAGCACCGCAAGTGAGGACAACACTGGAGATTCATCTAAAGAAAATGGTCTGTCGAGGAAAGAAAAGCTGGTCGCGGCAAAGAAGGAGAGAGAAGAGGAAGAAGATCGACGTGCAAACGAGCGCGTAGCGGATGGAATTGTAGCTAGACTCGACAAGTTGAAGGCAAACTTGAAGATGCTCAAGAATTTGCGGTTGAGGAATCGAACGAGCGCCTGCGCCAAGGAAGGAGACTTGTTCGACAGCTCCGCCCCAGCACCTAGTATGCCTTTCGCAGCGCCGCACGAGGACCCCGTGCGGACGCACCCTATGGGAACAGATCGAAAGGACCGCCGTTACTGGTTTTTTGAGGGCTCCGGCCGGATCTGGATAGAAGACACAAAATCTGGAGAGTGGTCCACAATTAACACGTCGCAAGGGCTAAACAAGCTTTTGTGCTGGCTTTCAACTTCACGTCCTGGGGAGCAGCAACTTAAGAAACGAATACGCCAGCGGGAGCAGCAAATTGCGTTGGAAATGGCGAACGAGAAAAAGAGCATAGAACTGGGTGAGGAAGAAGCACAGGAATCTGCCACAGAAGCAACGTCTCGGGGCACGAGAGCCGGGAAGAGGCGTGCCGAAAGAGTCCAAAAGGATAAAACCACAAGCAGGGGAACGGGAACGTTCTTGGACTACCGTAACTTGGTTAAATGAAAACTTACGGCTAACATAGCTAACTTGTAAATACAGAAGCAAAATCACACTTCCGCAAGGCAGTGCCTATAGCATCCTTATCGTCCAGTTTCTTCGCAAGAATGAGCGTTCCAGTCCTGGCAACTACGCAAGACCCGCATTCCTCTTACCTGCAAGCAAGAAAGCTGTAAGATATGTGCTCCTGAGCATGAGTACCCCTGGCTATATTGGCGCTGTTACATTGGGACCGTTGTCTGGCGGCGCCATGCCTGCTGCAGCTTCGGCCTCCTTCTGGGAGTAGGGCTTCTGCTTGAGTTCCTTGAGTCTAATTTTGTGCTTCTTCGTGCGCTTGTGTTCGTCTAGCACTGAAGCCGAGATGAAATATCGCGAGCACTCCAAGCAATAGTACTGGCCCATTCCGGGGAGATCAAAATCGATGGGTTGGTCATTGCGGAGCGCCTCTGCACGCAGCGGGTCCGAAATGTCCTCATGCACTTGATCCAGGGCACGAGCTAACGTGCGCTTTCGGCGCGAGCGTTTGTGACTACCCTTTCCTTTCGTGACGCGGCCCACACCAGAACCCATGTTCCAACGTATCACAGCTTGCGACTTGGAGTTGTGGATATAGACGGCGGTTAACGTGGTAGGACAAGAAAATTGCTGGTTAAGCCGCCGACGAGAAGCCACACGGTTACGACAGGATGCTATGATCCGTGAGCACGGGTTACATTCAGTGGGTAGCAGCTCATACGCCCCATACCAGCGGGCCACTGCCAAAAAATAAAATTGCGCTAATCTTTTTATTTCTTAAATCGATTACTCATAAAACTTTGTTAACACATTATTTAATATCAGTATTCATGAAGAATTGAACTCGCGACCAAAAGGAAAGGATAGCAGGGGAGTGGTACCGAAGCACACCACCCCTGCTGAAACCCCTTCTCCATCGCCCCGCCTTTGCAGCATTCAGTCGGTTGGACTGCACCGAGTGTGGCGTCGGGTTTGAAAGCCGCCATGTCAAGGGCGACTATGTTGAACAAGTCGATGGAGCTTTCCTCGTAAATCCGGGCAGCGCCCCACAGCTCAAGCAGTTGATGAAGCGTCTCTAGAATGATCAGGCTCGAGCAAAAGTCAACATTACTGAACGTACTCTTGCTGAGACTCATAAGGACGTGCAAAGCCTGTACAATATGTACGTTAGGGACGTGAGTTTACGCGTCATGAATGGCGTGCTACCGAGTGTTGAAGATCAGTTCGACTTCAAGGCTTTCCAGACATGTACACTCAACGTGATGCAGTGGGGCAACGTGGCTCGAGCAGACGAACTTCTAAATCTAGATCTTAAGATCTTGTTTTCCCAGGTATTTTATATTCTCTAGGTGTTGGGCGGGTTCTTTTGTCAAATCTCTAACATCATTCATCATTTTCCGGTGGTGGTGGCAAGGATCTGGCCTCAACTCGGCCATTTTTGGCGTATTACACTTCACTAAGACTGGGAATGGAAAGGCAGATAATGACGTCGTTAACCTCCGTGCGCGAACGCATCCCAGCGCCTACACGCTCCTTATATCCGTTGCCGTTACGCGCGTGCGCGTCACCGAACGACAAGATTGCGCCCACGCTACACAGCTCTATCCCCATTTACACAGGCGCATCATCAAGTGCCGCAGCTTGTCACGCTCCTACGACGCCAATGCTGCCGTCGCTACTACGCCCGTCGTCATACTTACGCCGTAGGAGACGTCGGGCGATGATGTGACGCTGACTGGCAAGCGAGCGCCCGGCCCCCCGTTGATGGATAGCCCGCCGATTGTTCCACGAGAAGAAGCGCCTCTCGTTGCCCAAAAAGACTGTCCACGACAACGCACGGCCAGAATTCCTCCCGCGACACCCGGGAGGCGGGGATACGAACGGGCTGCTTACTAGACTCGCCGCGCTTAGGAAGTGGGAGCGCGTTGAAATGGACGTGAACGAGGGACGGCCCCGCATTCGTAACGCACGGGCCTGTTCCTGTCACGGGACCTCATGACGTCGCCGGATGGACCCGCCGACCGGAGACAGAGGACGACACGGCCAGGGGGAGCTCGTCAAAATAAGCATCTCGTAAAGGGCGCTGCGGTAGCTTTTTGAAAAAAGGACAAATGCAAACGTGCTCGCGAAAAGGAGGGCAAGTCATCTGGAGCACGTCGCGTCGGAAGCTCGGGGCAACGAACGGATCCCGATACGCTAATGTTCTGACAAGAACGGAGTGTCGCGCCCCACTAAACTATCATGCACGACCAACACGCCGCCGCGTCCACGCGATAGTATCGGAGAACGAGCGATCGACTGCATACCCGAAAAGGTACAGGCAAGAGAGGAGCGAAGACCGCGTATGCCGACTCGATATTCCCATGATGCCGCCGACACCAGGCTTCGTCGCGCTCCATGGAACGCGGGCATCTCAACCTCTTCGGTGCCCTTGTCGCCTTCGCGATCACGCCCTCGCAGCCCCTCTGGTAAGGCTGTGGCGCCGACGCGTTGACGCCCATGCGCGTCGCCGACGTGCCCGTCGAGCTGCGCCCGAGCGCTCTACACTTGCCGTTACACGTGAACATAATTTGGTCCGCGCACGCCGCACACACATCATGGACTTTGCTGTGATTTTTTGGCAAAAAAATGATTTTCGCGGGAAAACATTTTTTGCAATTTTTGGAGTGATCTGATCAAGGACTCGGGGCTGTGCTTCTTCGCGCAGGCGCGCGCACGGGTACTGTACACGACAAACGTCGTAGACGCTGCATACAGTAGGGGTCGGACGGACACTGACAGGCCGGCGGCACGGGGCCTGTATACTCATCGGATGGGGACACGCCCCTGCCGATTGTGGACCCCTCCTTCTTCCTTCTCCAAGAGGGGCGCACACGATCAAGCCGAGGAGGGCGCGCTCGGCGAGACGCCCGCACGATCGAGCGCCGCAGCCCGCGCCTCCACTGCTGCCTGGAGCGCCGTCGTTCGCTCCCGGATTCCCGCCGCCCACGCGCTGCGCAACCCCGCGCTTTGAGACGCATCATTGCGACCGGCCCCCGCCCTCACCATCTACTATCACGGACTGAGATGGCGTATCCTTCACCCGACGACCCAGAAGGGCAAGGAACACGCGGAGTTGTCGCCGAGTTGGGCACTGACGCACTTCTGCCCCGCCATTGACGCGCCGAAGGGCGGAGACCCCGAAACGCCGACGTCACCGCTCGCCACACCCGTCCGCGTCGCACGCATCGGACGGAAACTGCGCGACGCAGGAGATATCCGCGGTACGGCGTCGAACTGTTGAGGGCGGGCTCGGACATCTACCCGGGGACACATCGAAGCAGACGACGGTACCCTAAATCTTTACCCCATAGTGGCAGAGGGGGGGTGTCTACTCGGGCGGTAATGTGTTGACCACACCGAAGGAGGTCAACCTTCGAGGTACGGAGTTGGCAGCGCGTGCTGCGCTACCGAACGCGCCTACCGCGCATACAAACGCCGCCGCACTGTCCTGCGTTCGTGAGAGGCGCACCGGGTGGACGCTATGACCCTGTAATTTCCCGGACCGTCCGTCGGGGAAGGAACACGCCACGCTCAGAACCTCGTTATCGACGCGCGTCACACTCGGGCGCAGCCGCACACCTCGAGGCTGTCGATGACGACTACGGGAAGCCGGTCCCAAAGAACGACAACACGGGACGAAGGACGACGCCTCCCGCCGAGCGATGGACATTCGTGCTGGGTACCTTGTAGTGGGATTTTTCACGCACGACGAGCGGGCTACCATCTACAACCTACCGGCGTGACGTGCATCCCGAGTACGAAAGCCCACATTCGCGGAATTTTGGGGATTGTAGAAGCGCGGGACGCTCTCCAAAGGGAGCGGCACGCACGCTCAACGGACGGCGAAGGTATCCCAACGGGAACGGCAGCGCCGTGGACCCCGCCGCGGGGGGCCCGAGGACAGCAACCGACCCTCCCGATGCACGCAAGGACGGGACTCGCGGCAAGGACGGAGGCGCAGAAAGGGATAAATTGCGAGGAGAGCGAACTCTTGTGAGTTCGGAGTGGGTGTTCGCGAGACGTCTCGCGGGAAGGGCACCTGTAAAACGTAGAACTCGCCGTACAAGACGAAGCAAAGGCGGCCACCGACAGGTCGTGGTAAGGAGAGAACAACGGGCTACTCGAAGGGGGCCACGAAGTAATAGCCGCGAAAACTCGGCTGGACTGGAAAGGAACGGGGAGCGGTCGCCGCAGTCTGGCGCGGCCGCGACCGCGGAGAGTAGTTCGAGGACTAAACTCCCTCACCCGACCGCGGGTAGGTTCGAACGCGCGCAACGACAAGCTCGGGAAGGGCAACAGTGGCAAACTCGGCGTACGCCCGTTCTACACCGTCACTCGGTGCAAGCATGAGGGAGGCACCCTAGGCCGGCGGCGGCTGGACGACGATCTTCGCGCAGAGAGCGCACAGACCCAAAGCGTCGCAAACGTGTAGAAGAAGGAACAACGGCCGCGCGACTATCGACGGAGAGACACTACCCGGCCGGCTTACGCCAGGGGCGACGCACGGCAGGCCAGACCTCGATTTCCGCACAGTGGGTGGAGTGCGAAGAACAAATTCCTGTGCGCCAGCGAGCCTGATTGGGAAAAGCGAAGTCGGGGAGCCTTCCGACCCCTCCCGGCCAGCACGACAGCGGCCATGTCAGTACCTTGCGCGCACGCGCCACGCCGAAGGACGTCGCGCGCAGGGGACACTACCAGTACGACGGATGGAAACACTTCCCATTCGGCGGGAAAGTTGAAGGGACGAGACCCGCACCGCGTCAGCAATGGCTGTGATGAACGACGTAGTAAGGACGCGCTAGCAAATAGTAGACCGGTCGGGGCGCACTGCGGCGCCGGCGAAGGCTCACGAGGACTACTTCCAACGCCCAGAGCCGGAGCATCTCCGCCTCGTATCAGCGCGACGGGAGACGGATACACTACGACACCGCTATGGCGACGGTAGACAGTTCATTTTGCAGGGGAAAAGAACGAAGGCCTACGGAGGCAGCGCGACGTGGTGCGCAGGGGTTCCTGAATGGATAGGAAGGACGGAAGGACCGTAACACGTCCGTCGCAGGGACACGGGCAAATCGGAAACGAGAACTAGCCGCGGATAGTTCTGACGGAACTACGTGCGCCGATCGCAGCCCCCCGCCCCCGTACCACGCGGCCTCGACCGGGACGCGCCCCAAGAGTGCCCCACCGAACGAAATCGTCGTCAGAAAGTCGGGAGCCCACAAGGGGGCCACAGGACGACTTTCCCTATTACAGGGAGCGACCTTGTCCATTCCCGCGGCAGGGGGGTACATGACCCATGAGTTCGCACGGGGTTGGCGGGGGATACGACGCCCGTGCGCCGAAGGAAATGGGGCGTCATGCATGCATCGTGCGGGGAGAGAGAGTACATTTTACTGTTCGTTCGACGGCCAACAACAGAGCACCCCCCTACTCGCCCACGTGAACGCGGACGTTCACGCGGGGAGGCCGTGTAGCATAACCGCCGACTACTGTACTATATCCCTGTGCTCCGAAGTAGATGATTTTCCTTCTACTTTCAGAAATAGAACAAATTTTTACTGAAGTAGAATCTACCATCTATTTTCGATGAAAAGTGAACATTTGAGGAGAATGTTCTCCAATGTCTCCAGGAGAAATTCCCTCCACAAGTAGGAGACGTCACTTCCATCCAGAGAACGTTCTCCAATTTACTCCAGTTCTCCACAGTTCTCCCCAGTTCTCCCCTATCTCTCAGATCGCCTTCTACTTATGTCCTCCGCTGATCAGTTGCCGCTGTCAGTAACGGCCGATGACAGTATTGGCGCTGCCTCGCCAAGTTGCCATCGTCATAGGATTTTCCCAGGAGAGTCCTATGACGATGACAACTGTCAACAAGAGCCTGATCTACGCATCCCTGCAAGTTGTGAGCCTGCACGCCATCCCACGAATGCCCCTCAATTCGTACCTCGCACTCGATATCTGAAGGCTGAGGCGCGGCGCCAGCACGCATCGCCCGCATCACGTCCCCCGCTGTCAATTGAAGATGACTTTCCCGTAATCCCCGAGGACAGTGAAAGCCATGTCTGTGATGACCTCTCCATGCAGTACGCATATGAAAACCCTGTCAATGACAATTCTTTATCATCTGATGATCTCCCATTCTCGCAGGAGGTCAATTCCCAGCAGACGTCGTCCGTCTCTGGTGATGAATCCGTCGATAATGCATCGATTTCAGACATAGATGAAGAGAAAATTGCCGACATTTGCCAAGGTACGAGGGCTCGAACGCATCAATGGAGTTCAAACCATTTCTATGGTCGTCGCCGTGTGATTCAGGACTTTTATTCATCTTTATTTCAAGATTATCTTGAAATAAAGATGAATAAAAGTCCTGGAGTAGACTTTCTACTCCAGTACCAACACTATCATAGTGTTGGTACTGGAGTAGAAAGTGCGTTGACGAATGGGGATGACAATGACCTGATTGTTGAGCACAACTTAGCGCCACCTGATAGGCCGCGCGTGGACGATGAGCATTCCACAATGTCTAATGGTGGCCTCCCTTCTTGGACGTATGCCCCAGCATTTAAGCATGTTACGTTAACCGTCGACACAGTTGATCTCGATTTGTACCCTCGCTATGTGAGAGAAAGGAACACTATCCTAGATAATGTGTTGAAGCAGCGCCCTGGTTTGGCAGAAAGGCGGTCTCCGGAAGAACGATTGAGCCGAGTGGAGGCTTTCGCTGCCTTTTTGCCGTTCTCTTTGTTAGAGAAACTTCGTGTATACATTAACCAAGTACTCATCACTCGCATGCGCTTGCCGTGCTCAACGGCTGAGTTGAAACGCATCATTATTCTTCACGTACTGGCTGCATCTTACGGTGCTTGTGTGTCTACAATAACTGCCCCAGAGAACGAACCATTCTATTTTCAAATGGGAATCTCGGATAAAAGGTATAATGAGGTATGGAGTGCTCTATCCGGGACGAAAATTTTGAGGGAGGCATGCGAGCAGACGGCATATGGTTGGTTAAACAAACCGACCTCCGGCAATGCCTTGATCACTGAAATGGAAGGTGAGCTGGCTGCCATTAACCGAAGGCTTGTGAATGTGGAAGGTGCCACTGTGCACTCCGTTGATGACGATCACGACCGATTAGGCTCCAAAGCAGTTGTACAATTGACAAGCCTATCTCATGTGAGCAACCCCGTCAAGGCCCTCGGACCTGTCAACAATGCCGCCAGCTCCGCATTAACTCATGCTTTTATTGCCTCACACTACTCGCGTCCGCACGAAAGAGTAACACATGTTTGGCACAGATTGGTCCAATTGCTTCAGGGTGTACCTACAGTTGGGGCCTTGAGGCTCATGGTGGATTCCTTGTTTACTGCCGACAGGGCCTATAATGAGGTTGAGTCAATTTCATTTCTGAATGAGACGTTAGGAGCTAGCAGCATTAGAACGCATAAGCGTTCTTTAAGTTACCCATTTGTTTTTGGGGAAGGACATATCAGAAAGAAACATAAGGGGATGGTTGTGGCAGAGAAGGGTTGCAGGGCGATATACAGTGCACAAAGGACACCTCGTGGGAGCAAAGGTCGTACTATTTGTGGTGCAATGTGCCTGGCAGGCCGGGAAAGCATTCCGACGGTCAAACAAAAAGAAGAAAAACAGCAACAGCAACAACCACTGCCGATGGCACGCGCTACGGAGCGTTCGAGACTCCCTTTACCCTTGTGTGGGCTTGCGGCCCACGGTAGCTCGACTCCGACGGGGGGGTTAAGGAAAGATACCCTGCCCGGGAGGATAATGGTGGTAGAGACTTGTGAAGACTTGAGTGCTCGACGAGTGCGGGTTGGGCTTGTCTACGAAAATGTAACCGCGGTTCGCTGGGTTGTAAGGCCAATGCTCGACGAGCGTCTTCAGCACCTTGGGTATAATTCAAGGTCTTCGACGGGGGCTTGTTCAGCACTACCCGACGGGATCGTAACCGTGTAGCAACGCTACTACCGACGTGTTGCCCGATGGCTAAAAACACCCTCACCAGCGCGATCGCGATCGCGGTAGGCGGTACCAACTGTCTTATACAGTAACACCTTCGACGGAGGCGTCGTTACGACAGCCTTCCGACGGAACTTGAAACAGTAGCAGCGCTACACAACGTGTTGCCCGATGGCTAAAACACCTACACCGGATCGGTCGTGACCGACTCCAATGGGACCAACAGAATTAAGGGAAAAATAGATGTAGAGATAGAAAAGGTAAAAGGATAAGGAAAAGGAAGGGGACCCCCGGGCAGTGAAGGATGCCGTAGGCTTAGGTAAAAGGGAGCGTCTTGGTAGAGACGGACTTCAACCAAGGCCACATTCAACTCCGGCAACTCGGGTTCGATTGGGAAATAAAGGAAAAAGGAAGGGGACCCCCGAGCACTGAAGGATGCCGTGGGCTTACGTAAAAGAGAGCGTCTTGGTAGAGACGGACTTCGACCAAGGCGACATTCAACTCCGACAACTTGGGTTACCTTTACTGACTCGTGAGTCAGAGGGCTAAGGTATATATCGCCCAGCCGGAGCCACTACAGTAGCTCGCGGCGCTAGATCCGAGATCTAATCTAATGTCAGCAAAATTAATACTAACTAATTAACTAAATAAAATTAAATAATTAAAAATTAAAACTGTGCAATTATTCACACGTGTGTCCCCCAACCCGGACTACTTGTCATACCCCATTAATTTCCTTTCTTTTCACCCCCCTGTAGAGCCCGTTATTGCACCACACTATTAAAGCTTCTGTCTACAGAGAAAGCTACTCAGGCCGTATTGCTGCAGTGTACAGCAACGACCCTGTCAGATTCGGAGCACACCAGTACTGCTTCATTCCGAAGAATAGCTTCAGGCATACATTTGATAGTGCTGCAGTCGAAACATTTCAGCTCATCTTCGACAATAGAGTCGCTCGTCCAGAAGGCGAGGGTGGTGGATACTTTTTGCGTAATCCATCGACGCAGGAAAAGGCACTATCAAATATTGCTGTACTTAAAGTTGTGCAGTTACTGGGGAGGCTGTGCCAATGCACAGTGTTTCAGGCAGAAAACCCAGGTTGGTTCTTGGCCAGGGCATTTAAATTTACGTCAAGAACTGCCAGCAACTTTATTGGTGCTATTGCCCGGATTTATACTTCGAGTATATCTGGTTTATCTTACCAACTCCGTGGCGCCACACTACGGGCTGGAACACAACCTCTCACAAATGACATCAAAATGCTTGAGGAAGAGTTGATGATAAAATGGAAGGGCATGGCGGCAACTATTGGAATTTCCAATCGTGATAGAGATCTTGAGATCACGATCTGCACAGCTGAACGCTTCATGTCAGCAACAACCACTAGTTTAGCCCAAATGCGCAAGGAGGAGATACTTTCTTTATTGAACTCTGTAGGCAGGCGGGAGCGAGTTTCTTTACGCAAGAACGAACTAATAACTAGATGTATCGAACATCAGAACTGCGTTCGTCGAGGGGAGATATTTTTGCCTGTTCGGAATTTAGCACCTGAGAATGAGATGACACTGTACAATAACAAGGCGTTCAAGCTGAAAAACGAGCTTTTAAAAGCCTCTTTAGAGTCCTGGGCAATGAAGCCCCTGGTTTCCACCGCAGGGATGAAAGAAGGTACCCTGAATGAGATGCAAGTGTTCAGGGCCTTACCACATTTTTTCCAAGCGAACGAAGCATCAAATATCACTGCAGGTCAGTCTATAAATTACTGTGAGAGGGACTCATACACAGTAGAGTATATCAGGAGTGTAGGCCTAATAGGCTCATCAAGCTCTGACATGATGGCCGATAGCCCAGATGGGATCCTGGGCTATTCGGACAATTTTGAAGCACACGTGGCCTCAATTGAGGTTAAAACTATGACCACTCCAAACCGGATTCGCAATGCTAAAGATATAAGAGGAAGGTTTCCCACTCCAAACACGATTCGCAATGCCAAAGATATAAGAGAAAGGTTTCCCACTTTCTCTATCTTAACGAATATTGGCAGGAGCGATCGCTCCTGGAAAGTACTTATTCACGCCGTCGAGGGCGTGGATAAGTACTTTCGTGAACTTGTGCCCACGACTGCCTATCGGTTTCAATGTATTCATCACGCTGCTACCCTCGGCATATCTAAAGTTCTATTCATAGTGGCGAAGGGTAGCAGTGGGGGAGTGGGTGAGGTGATATATGCAGTTCTTTTGTATATTTCGGAACAACTACGAAACTATTACCTCATGTTCATGGACGCAGTGCGTGTGAGTGCATTTTCTTGGGTAGGAAGGGAAGCCAATATCATTCCAGCAGAATACAACAGTATACTATCCACCAGTCATGCGTCTTA